GCTGTGGCTTCAACAGAATTCGATGTATATGCTCTCCTAAATACCACCAGTCAAGGATACCCTTCCATTAAGTTCACGTTAGAGGTGGAAATGGCAGGTTCGCTTCCTATCTGGGACGTCCTCCTAAGTTAGAGGCCTAGTGGCAGCATCCCGAGAAGCATATTTCGAAAGACAACCTGGTTCGAACAGTATAAAAACTTTTACAGTTTGGTACCCATCCAACAGAAACGCAATCGTGTCCGCTACTCAACGCAAGGGACGAGGAAAAGTTTGCTCGGTAGACAGTATTGAGATGAAACTTAAGAAAATCCAGGACCTGCTTCGTGAGAACACGCATCCTGAGAGATTAATCACAAATAATGGTGTGGCTTGAGAAATATTGCCAATGGAATTCACTCTAGACAAGAAGGCGCTATTCCATAAGGCTCTGTATTAAGTGGATGGGTTAGGTAAACCTCGACGAAGACGCCTTGACAAAGCCGTTTCACGAACGGTTCGAGTGTTATTCTCAATAAACTCGGTCCCGCACGGCGAAGGTAAAGATAAGCTGTCAGCTCAGACCATTTCCATTTGCATTTACTCATTAACCTGCTCCTGTCGAGCCGGTTATATCGGTCGCACGAGTCTACACTTATCCAAAGGAATACAAGAGCCTCTTCTGGCATGGCTGAGCAAAGGTGAAGTAAGGAGGATAGAAAACGTTATTTTGAGGCACATAGTTGACTTCGGACATCGTGTGAAACCAAATAAGCCTTTTGGGTCATTTATAAATCCCATAAGACCATCCAAATCCTTGGCACAGCGCCTGCTAGCAACCGCTATCAGGTTGGGAAAGTCGGTGTTTTGTGCAAAAAAGAACTTCCTGCAAGTTCCGCGTCTGACATGGCCAACAGTCAGTTAGATGCATGCAGTCATCTGCAGTCTCTTTGCCCCCCTTCAGCCGTACCCTAGCCTGGCACCACCTATCCCTGCCTGCAGAACCAGCCTTCTCGTATCGACCCCTTTCCCCATTTGCACGACTCACTTGTATGAAAAGACAAACAGGTTTTAACCTGTACCTCATTCCCATATAAATGCAACAGCTCGAGGAAAATTTATCGGAAGCTTACATACGCTCGCCAACTATCCTTCTGCATTCCGCTTGATAAAATTAGTTTCAAAAGCATATCATTGGATTTTGTATTTTATCGGCGTTTTGTCTATGGAATGCTTTATTTTTAAGTCAAAAATCTAAATAAATAAACTAAGTGTGGATTTTTACACGTCTATTGATTTTGTGAATGTTTTCGTAGGTAAGTTATGTTTCCTTTGATTTAAATGAAACTGTGTGCTTGCCGCTGTAAACAAAGAATTCTTTCGTAAATACGTATATTGTTCCGTAATAATTACAGAAGCGAACGGATGCAGACTACATCAACTTATTTGAACTGTTACAAATAACCAACTTTATTAAATAAAAATTCTGTTGAAAAGTCGTGTTGGCAAACAGCTGTTTTCGGTCATTCACTTCAGGCCG